ATTCAAAGAGTTCAGGCAAACAAAGGCCCAAACACCCAGGCATATGTTCTGAACCTAAGGTATTACCAAAGTACTATGGCTAATCTTATTATTTTCAATAATGTTCATTTGAATCATGCTCATCATGGCTAAATAGGAGATAAGAGCTAAGGTTTCTTCTAGAAATTAACAGAGTGGGATCTTCAGGAATCACAGATGTCTTCATAAAGACTTACTTTGGTACACTGATGACCACATTCTAGAAGGATATACAGGTAGGGACATGTAGAAAGCTTGATTTGCCTTTTTGAGTCAGTGCTGGGCTGGGACCCAGCAGTAAACCTGAAGGAGCTGAGTGTGGGTGCCAGCAGTAGTGTTTGGGTGTAAAATCCTCCTGTAGGCAGGAAGAAAGTTCTTCCATACTATGTTGGGCTGAAAAGATTTTCATTGTGTTTTATCCTCAGGCATGGTAAGAACTCCTTGAAAGGGAAGAGGGGTATTCTTAATTGCCTCTGTATATATAGTTTTGTTCTTGAGATAGGGCCTTTCTATGTAGCTCAGGCTAGCCTTGAACTTGCTATTACAGCCCAGGCTGACCTCTTGCCAAATCTTTCTGCTATAGCCTTGCAAGTGTTGGTGTTATGGGCATGCACCACCTACCACTCCTGGATTCTAAATTCTTTGTGCTGGTTCTGGAGCTTGAACTTAGGGGTCTTAGATTCTTGCTTAGCTTTTGCACTGAAGACTAGCACTCTACCACTTGAACCATGGCTCCACTTCCCTAAATTCTTTAGCACCAGCAAATACTTGATATCCTGCTCCAGCAGGAGGCCCCCATGGTAGCTTCTGAGAAGTCACCTAGGCCATTTTTCCTGTTGGCGTGGGGCTTACATTCTATCAGGGAATGAAAAAGGGGGGTAAACACCAAAGATATATTTTTTAAATGGTTGATTACATTTTCAAATAATATTCTCAACACATTTTTCTTTATCCTCCAAACATGGTTTTAGGGGAAGTATATCTAAATTTAAACTAGGATTCCAATTGGTAATCAAAGCAAAACAAACGAAACAAATCCAAACAAAACAATAAGTATGATTTTAGATATACTGTAACATATTAATAATTTATGCTGTGTGTCCTGGCCTTGAGCTTTCCATTAAATGGGAGATAGCACAGATTTCTGACATTATACAAGGAACGGGGTTTTGCTTAGCCAATTGTGATCAAAGATGTATTCCTGCCAATCACAGCCCCCAGGGGAAGGCTGCATTCTTTGTAGATGACTCTTCCTTCCCAAATGACTCAAGAGTCCTCCTTCCTAAGACCTGAAATGTGTACTTAAGTCAGATAGATGGTGTCACTCACTGTATTTCTACTCTATTTCTGAGGGAAAAGCTTGATTTTTAAGGCAACTTTATCAAGATATAATTTACATACACCAAATTATGGTATGCTCATTGGTTTGTTTTTAAAGTGACAGGGGCTTGCTATGCCGCCCAGGCTGGCCTTAACTTCTTGGGCTCAAGCAGTTTTGCCTATTTTCTGAATAGCTGGAATTATAGGTGTGAACCACAGTGCCCTGCTGATATACTCATTTAAAGGTACAGTTGGATGAGTTTTGAAAAGTATGTACACACATATAGCCATCACCCCAATTAAGATAGACTATTTCCATTATACCCCAAAGTTCCTCTGTCTCCTTCTCGTCATAATCCTGTCTCTTGCCTCTTACCTTTGACAACTACCAATCTGTTTTGTATCATTATGTATTAGATTTGCATTGGCTTCAATGTCATATAAATGCTGCAACGAACTGCAACCATTAGTCTTGCTTCTTCCTTTTATTTTTTTTCTTTTTGTGGAGTTGGAGATTGGATGTGGGATTTCACACATGCTAGATAGTCACTCTACAATTGAGTTGAACCCTAGACCCACTTAGCATTATGGTTTGAGAACCACCCATGTCATTACATGTTTTCAAAGTTTCTTTTAGGAAATTAACAGAACACTCTGGCAAGTGCTAAAGAGTCTGAATGTCTGGAGGGCAGGAAGAATCTAGCAGTTGATGGCTAAATTGAAGAGCAAGTAATTGGTTTTGTAAAAAACAGCTTTAGCCTGGCATTGATAGCTCACACCTGCAATCTTATTCAGGAGGTTGAGGTCTGAGGATCACAGTTTGAAGCCAGCTGGAGCAGGAAAGGTTGTGAGACTCTTATCTCCAATTAACCACACAAAAGCTGGAAATGGAACAGTGGTTCAAGAGGTAGAATGTTAGCTTTGAGCAAAAAACCAAAACAAAAAACAACAAAAAAAAACCCCACAAATGCTCACAGTGTCTAGGCCCAGAGAACCAGCCTCAGGACTGGCACCAAAAAAACCAAAAAGCAACTTTAGCCAAAACTGGAAAAGGAGATGCATATAGTGAGCAGAGAGAAAGACTGCTGACAGGGCATCTTTACAGCATGGGAAAATGGGATTGCAACATATTCTCTCCAGGCAGGAGAGAATAATACACGCTTAGTTGTATTTGGACAGTCTGGAATTGAGCCAATGGACTCTAACCTACTTTCCTCTGCAACTTCTTCAAGATAGATTTGATGGCCTGTCCAGGTGGAGACAAAGAGCTCTATATTAAGACTTAGAAAGGCTTCATTGGCTATGCAATCTTGACAAACAGGTATGAAGACTACCTAGCATGAGGGCTGTTGGAAAATAAAAATAAAAGTCTACACAAATCATTTAGCAGGTATCTTACATAAGGAGGGCTTGTGAGCTTGTATTATAACTTAAAATACTGTAATACCTTAGACTTGTAATAAAAGAATCCAAATGTTTCCTTAGGAAGCCAGAATTGCTTCAGTTTTTAAAATTAAACCATAGTGAATCCTTCTCTATTTCTATAACCAGGGAAGAACTAGATCAAGTAGCAACCTCTGGTGGGATTTTAGAAGCAAATAGGCTAGTTTTGAGAGCTGGGAGAAAGGCTCCATCATTAGGCCACCAGTCAGTAGAGCTCCATACTTGCAAAGTCCCACCTGGGGCTTTTCAGGCAGAAGCTCTGCCAGGGGGTGGGGAGAGATGATAGAGGTCGTGATCTGATTCCTGAGCCACAGGCTCATCAGCTCTATAGTGGGTGGGCACCTCCCCATGCACTACATGGGTTTGACAGCTGTAACGGATTTAAGAGTCTGATGTGGAATCATCGCAGGGTGTGAATCGTCCCCTGAGCGGGTTGTTTTAGTCTGTTAGCTTTGGGAACGTCCTTCCTCTCTGCACAGAGCTTTACTCATCCGGCTGTCACACTGCAGGATTGCCTGAACACAGGCGTCACCTTACAGCTGCATGGAGCGCAAATGAAATGTAAGAGAGGGCCGTGAATCTCCCTGCAGAGTCAGTATGGCCTGCCTCGTGCTGCTCACCTTCCTGGAAAGGTGGGGCTTGCTTTTGGGCTCGTGATCCAGGTGCTCCAGCCAGCACCTGGGTTCTGAGTGTAAGAGTTTCTTTTTGGTTTTGTGCCGGACTTGAACTCAGGGCCTGAGCACTGTCCCTTAGCTTTTCCAAGGCTGGCCCTCTACCACTTAAGCCACGGCTCCACTTCTAGTTTTTGCTAATTAAGTGAAGAGTCTCAGGAACTTTTTCTACCTGGGATTGGCTTCGAACCTGGATCCTCAGCTCTCACTCACCTGGGTAGCTAAGATCATAGGTATGAGCCACTGGCGCCTAGCTAAGAGTTAATTCTTGAGGGGACCGTAGGGCACCTAGGGGCCCAAAGGTGGGCTCAGGGCTCCTCGCCCTGCCTTCCGGCCTCCTTTCCCAACCCTTCCCTCAAGCCAGCACCCAGCCTGCTTCCCAGAGAGGGCAAACACCCGTGCCTGGGGCGCCCACTAGAACTTGCTTTTGGATTTCTTCGGGGCTCCCTCCGAGCTTCCGGCCCCAGGTGCCTGGCGTTTCGCTCCCCCCCCCCCCCCCCGCCCCATTCTGAGACTCCAGGGGGACCGATTGCGACAGCCCCACCCCGCCCGGAGTGGGCGGGTCCCACGGGCGCAGGGCCACGCGCTTCCTTCCCCAGCGACCCCCCCCCCCCCCCGCGGCTGGCCAGGTGTCCGGAGCCCTCGCGCCCCCTCGGCCTTCGGTGTCTTTCCGTCCCCCGCTCCGCGACCTCCGGGTATTTATTTACCCCCGTCGGCGCCGGCGTTGGGGAAAGCGCCGGGCTTAGGCGGGGCTGCTCGGAGCGGCGCGGCGCGGCGCGGCGCGGCGGGGCGTTTGAATGCTGCGCGCCTTTCTCATTGGAGGAACGCGGCGCGGCGCTCCCGGAGGAGTTGGGTGCCGCTTTCCTAAGGTTTTCATTCTGCTCGTGTGGTGCCCACGTGGCTTCTTACTGGTCTGGGGGTGGGGTGGGTGCGGGGCGTTAGAAAAGGAAGAGCCCTGCGTGGCTCTGGACAAATTCCACCCTGCGATGCTGGGCGCGCGCCGCTGCTCTGCAGCCACGCGTGGAATTGTGTCTTGTTTGGGTTCATGGGCTTTCCGAATTTCCGTGAAAAAGCAAAGCATTATAATGAAAGGAAATGCCGTCCTCAGTCACGTGGCGCCCCAAACCATACTTCATTTAGTAAAGGCTCATAAAGTAAAGTTCTAGAGGGGTTTTTGTGGATAAGAATGAATAAAGACAGCCTCTCTCTCTCCTCGCTCTCCTCTTGAACTCAGAGCCTTGCATTCTCACCTGGCCTTTATCCCTCAAAGCTGTACCACTTAAGCCACACTAGCCATTTGTTGGTAACTGGAGGTGAGTCCGTCTCGCGGAGTGGTCAGCCTGGGCTGGCTTTGAAATCTCAGCCTCCCGAGTAGCTAGGACTGTAGGTGTCAGCCAGAGGCGCTCACCATCCACCGCCCCATTTTAGCAATAGCAAGTAGAGGTCTACGTTGAATTTGGCCTCTAGTTTAAGCAACTCAGTAACGTACTAGTAAAGGGGAGAGCACCAGGATTCTCACATTGTCTTTCCCTTTTATTTATTTTCCAGTCCAGAGCACAGCCACCGGAAGATAACAGAAAGAAGCCGGTTTTGGGGAAACTTGGCACTCTGTTCACGACTGGAAGGAGAAGGAACACCAGGTCTGGCCCCGAGGGTTCCACCAGCTCCAATACCAAACCAGCCTCTCCCAGAGATGTAACCTCTTCTAACGCCCCTGAAAGAGACAGTGAGAAAAGTAAATGTGAGAACCACCAACCGAAGCCACCGGACCAGAGGGAGGACAGCTCCTCCCAGGAGATCCAAGGCGAGGGCTGTGTCCTGGCCGCCGAAATGTCACCTGGCTCGCCGAGTGCCGCGGCCGGGCAGCCGAGCCACGACAGTGATTCACCCCAATTAGAACCCCTGCAGGCAGAGGGAGAGCCGTTCCCAGATGCCACCACCGCTGCCAAGCAGCCGCATTCCTCAGCGCCGAACCGCTCCGGGCAAGAGAGCGCAGAGGCGCACGCACGCCGTCCCGGGCAGGACGCGCCGCCGGACGCTGGGCACCCGCAGCAGACAGCCCAGGCTTCGGAGGCTGCGTCGGGATCTCCCACCCGGGAGCGGCCGGTGGAAGGACGAGGCGAGGTCCCCGAGGGAGCCCCCCACGCGGGTGCGTGTAGCGACCCCCAGCCCCCCGAGGACGCCTCTGGCCCGCGCAGTGGCCCTCCCACCCCGGGCGAGCGCGCGCATCCCTCCAAAGTGTTGACTTTGGACATCTACTTGAGCAAGACCGAGGTGGTGCCGGTGGACGAGCCGGTTGGAATCGCTGCTCCCGGGGCAGAAGAAGATCTCGGCGACTCGGACGACATGGATAAGAAATCGAGCGGCCGCCGGTCGGGCCGGCGGAGGCGATCGCAGAAATCCACCGACTCGCCGGGCGCGGACGCCGCCGGGCCGGCCGAGAGCGGAGCGCGGGACGACGCGGTGTTCGACGACGAGGTGGCGCCAGACGCGGTCCCCGGGAGCCCGGCGGCCGCGGAAAAGAAAGTGAAATCTCCGCGGGCGGCGCCCGACGGGGGCGTAGCCTCCGCCACCGCCCCCCGAGCGCAGCTCCGCGGGGAGCCCGAGCGCAGCCGCCCGTCGCCCGCGGCCACGTCCCCCACCAAGAGGAAGGGCCGGAGCCGCGTCCCCGACGCCGGGCCCAGCCCGCCCGCCAGCGGCCCGCGGACTCTCGCCAGGGAGTCCCCACCCAAGAGGCCATCGGGGGCCGATCCTGGCCTGGGAGCCAAGGGCGCCGGGGCGGCGGACGGCGGCGAAGAGGGGGCCCGGCTGGTCCCCCGCGAGCTCACGGTCAAGAGCAGCTCGCTGCTGCCCGAGATCAAGCCCGAGCACAAGAGGGGCCCGCTCCCCAGCTACTTGGACGGCCGGGGCCGGGAGCTGGGCCGGGCCACCGGACCTTCCGACCCCGAAGGCTTGAAACCCAGGAACCAGTTCGGTGTGGGCAGATCGACGGTGACCACTAAAGTGACCCTGTGAGTAGACTGCCTGGCGGGTCCCCGAGACCTGCAGGGGAGGCTGGGGGGCGGCGTGAGGGGGGGTGTTTGCAGAAGAGTGGTCTGCGTTGAATTTGCTCCTGTGTTGGACTTCCACATGGGAAGGGCCGGTTTACAGAATAAAGGTTGAAGAAGTAAATTCGTATCTCAGTGCAACACCTAAAGTTAAATGAGTGTAAAACTAGGATCTCCCTTGAAGCGTATTATTTTATATAAATCATTTAAGCCTTCCCTGAGTGACTTGAGTTACTTATGTGAATTATCCTAGATGAACTTATTTGGGCATAACAGGGTAAGATGTTTTTAAACAAACATGAAACAAACAATATGTTCAGTATGACCCAGTTTTGACAAGAGTGAGTTAAGAAAATTCTTAAACCTCCTGTAGAATGTAGTGCAGTGTGTGTGTGTGTGTGTGTGTGTGTGTGTGTATACGTACTGGGGCTTGAACTTAAGGTGTGAGCACTATCCCTTACCTGTTTTGCTCAAGGATAGTGCTTTACCCCTTGAGCCACCACTCCACTTCCTGCTTTTTGATGTCAATTGGAAATGAAGCTCATGAACTTTCTTGTGCCTAAACCCTGTCTTCAAACTCCAATCTTCAGGTCTCAACCACCTGAATAGCTAGGATTCATTTAAAGGAGGTCTGTAAAACAAGTATCTTAGTTTTTCTTCCCCTCTGTGGTGATAGGAAACTTTCTGCTCTGAGGCTGAAAATTAGTTTTTAGTTATTGAAGAAAGATCCGTGTGTTTCATTTTGGTGCTGAAGATAGAACTCAGCTTTCAAATCACTCCTACCACTGATCTATGTCCGCCCCCAGCCTCACCCCAGCCCTGAAGTCAGTCTTCTTGCTGAAAATTATTTACTAAATGAAAGGGCACTAAACAACAGACTGTACCTAGGTGCTATTCAGTTTAATGGTTTTGCACCTGTTTATTGAGGATCTTCTGTCATGGTAGATGTACTAAGCAGGGAGGAAACCTTCAAGGATGATTCAGTACAGGGCCCTTGAAACGTTTATGGCCCCTTCTGTCACTCAGGGAGTAGTACACAAACCAGATAAAACTGCCAGATGGATTTTAACCACTGTAGAGGCTGGGTAATAGCTTCTGGCTCCTTGTTCTTTGTGTAAAGTGTAAAGGCTGGAGAAGTGTAGGGAAGGAAGAAATCACTGCTGTTTTTTGTTTGTTTGTTTTTGTATTTGGAGAAGTTGGTGCTCATACCTTGATAGCAGATTGTATAAGTTGGATAGGGCACTGTGGACTGTCTTCGAAACTGAGATTGTGTTTGGCCGAATACCCATTCCCCTACCCTTTAGTACAGGTGGAGGACCTGATAATTTGCCCAGCATAAGCAGTCTTAGACTGAATGGCTTCATTCTATTAGATTTCTGGACTAGGAAGTATGTTTGCAAGGAACTTGAGGAAAATATGCTTAATGAATAACGTGAATTACCTCACCTCCGCTACCAGCCTGGAGACCTTTGATATAGTCAGCTATTTATTCTGTAACGGTAGCATCAGAGAAATAACTTGAGTGAATGATGCCTATTATTTGCATAAGACCAGAGTGAGTGAATCCCTGAAACCTCCCAAACACCAGCTTACCTACCTGAATAGGGACACTTAACTTGTCTTCCAATCAGAAGGCAGCAGTGGACAAACCAGAAATGTTACACTGTTAAGGAATAGAGTAAACAAACATCAGCAGGTTGGGATCTTACAATGTAGCTCTTCTGTGCTGCTTCCTAGAACTAAACCAAATGTCCTTTTTCTAAGTACTGTTTTCTGCCTACACATTTTCTTTACCACCTCAGTTTATTTAGTTGTGTTCAGTACCTTACGCGTGGTAAACTATCCCCCAATAGAGAATCAGTAATTCTTTCTATTCCTTTGACCCATTTCTGTTGGGTAGGGTTTTTCAGACCCTTTGATTCTTTATGTGACTATATTTGTTGTTGCTTCTTGGTTGTTGATCTACTACTTAAAAGCCACTCCTTCAGTCCAGCTTTTTTGCTGATTAATTGGAGATTGGAGTATGTTGAAGTTTTCTGCCAAGGCTGATTTTGAACCTCTATCCTCCAGATCTCAAACTTTCTGAGTAGGTAGGATTACAAGTGTGAGTCACCAGCACCTGGTTCCCTATGACTGTATTCTAAGTAAAGATGATACTTAGACTATTAAAAAACAAAACAAAACTTGATTGAAAAGATAGACAAACTATTACCTGAAAAATGACCATGAAGCTACATAGTTTTTAATGTAGCTAGAAAACTTATTTTCCAAGTTTTCTACCAAGTGCTGTTGAAATTCTTAAAATGGTATATTTAAAATAGGAAGGAACTTTTTGTTATAACTTTGGCTTTTTAACTTTCAGATTCTTTTTCCCTCTTACTTTGGCTGATGGCATTATGATAGGAGTTATAGGAGCCTTCCTTCTAATCAGTCTTAACTAGGTTAATTGCAGTGACTCTGGTAACACAGCTTAATAGCACAGAAGTTTGGTTGTAAATGGTATTTTGATCTTAGTGCAAATCTTTAATGTGTTTCCTGTCCTTAGGTAGCTGTTGGCTAACCTGTAGGTTTTCCATTTACATCATAAGGTACGCTTTGATCTTTGATTAGAGTACTGTTCCTTGCCCTGATTGGTGAGAATTTGTTTTAATGTTCCATGGTTTGTGACCATCCCTCACTAATTGGTTCAGCATCTGTAAACACTATTTCTAATCATACTGGTTTTAAAACTTAATCTTTATGCTAATTTTGCTTTTAAATTTATGCTAAGAGCCTACGGTAAGGTAAAGCAGTGCTTGGGATAAGTGTATGAACAAATATTAATAATATTAGTATTACATGTATTTTTAAAGTATTAATAATATATTAGCTTTTCAATTATATTAAAATATTATGCTATTAACATACTAATTAAGAATAAAACTCTAAATTTTCATTTGAGAAGGACTGGAGGATATCTAGCCCAGACTTCTCATTTCATCCAGAAGGGAAAGGTATAACTAGAAACTTAGGACAGCCAAGTTCACCTCGGTCCTTGTGTCTGACAAGAGAAGAGTTTCAGTAAAACTTAAACAAAGTAAAGGTGACAGGAAAGTTTATTAGAAGAGAAATACCACAGAGACAGAGAGCATGTGGCATGGATGGGAAAATAGCACTTCAGCTCACCTCAGGGTTATTGAGATTGACCTAAAATAGTGTTAAATAGTGAGAATTAGTGTCCCGGAAGACACTTCTGATTGGTAGATCTCCTTTCTGTTTCTTATAAGGTCCTGGCACCAAAACTTTTAGTGTCCTGTCTTATTTCCTCATTCTTTTGTTGCCCCTGTCCCCATTTACTTGTCAGGCAAGTTTGGTTTTATCAGCTCATCCTGCCATCTGCAAGCTGCTGAGGCCTTAATTCCCCGACTGCCTGGCTTTCTACTAACTCCTATGTCTACTGCTTGTTCCTCCCTAGGCATCCCAGGCCCAGCCTTCCTAAAGGCCAGTTTCTGTGTCTTCTCACCTTTTGTTCTGTTATGAAGTGGCCTCTAAAACCTGATTATCTTATCGATTTCCTGATGACCAAGTGATATAAGATGGGGACAACCAGAGGAGCTACTTCAGAGCAGTCTTGTCTGACCCTGAATACAAGCACAGTAGTTCAGTGGGGAGGCTTGCAGCATCTGACACCACAGTAGTTATTACAAATCAGGTCCCTGTCACTAGCTGTGGGGCTTCAACTTCATCTCAAAAAGAGAATGTACAAAGTTGTGCAGTAAGTCAGCTAGCTTGAAGCAGCTCTCAAGTGCTTGGTAGTCATGACTGTGAGTGGTTACTTTTCTATTTTACTAACCACTAGACCAATGTTTTTCTTATTTCTTTTTTTCCTTATTGTCTTTTTTTTTTTTTTGGGTCCGGTCGTGGGGCCTGAACTCTGGGCCTGGGCGCTGTCCCTCAGCTCTTCAGCTCAAGTCTAGCGCTCTACCACTTGAGCCACAGGGCCACTTCCGGCTTTTTTCTTTTTGTTTATGTGGTGCTGAGGAATCGAACCCAGGGCTTTGAGCATGCAAGGCAAGTGCTCTACCACTGAGCCACCTTCCCAGCCCTGTCTTTAACCCTTGGAACCCTTCTCTGAAAGCTTATATACAAATGATATATACAACATAAAGGGAAGCCGAAACAATAGTGGAGGCCAGGCTCCTGTGGCTCATGCCTGTAATCCTAGCTACTCAGGAGACTGAGATCTGAGGATGGTGGTTCAAAGCCAGCCTGGGCAGGAAAGTCTGTGAGACTCTTAACTCCAGTAAACTACTCAGAGCTGGGAGTGGTGCTGTGGCTCAAGGGCTAGAGCACTAGCCTTGAGCAAAAGAAGTTCAGGGACAGAGCCTAGGCCCTGAGTTCAAGCCCCAGGATAGGCACCAAACAACAACAAACTACAGAAGTGAAACCAGACATTGGTGGCTCTTAACACGCAATCCTAGTTACTTGGGAGGTTGAGAATGAGATCCCTCTTAAACCATAGCTGGGTACAGTGGTGTGTGCCATCATCCTAAACCATATGGGATATTAGTAGGATTGCTATTGGAGTACAGTCTGAGAAGAACTGTCCATGAGACCTAACCCAACCCTAACCCTAACCCTAACCACAATGGAAGCTGGACATGGTGGCACACCTGTGATCCTACTGATGACAGGAAGCATAAAGGTAGTCATACCACAGCTGGGGTGTACAGTGGGGTAGAAAGCGAAGTCCTTACCTAAAAATGGTCAGTGCAAAAAGGCCTAGAGATATGGCAGGGCTAGATATTAGCTTGTCTGCCAGACTAGCAACTTTGAGGCTCCTTAGTTCAAATCCCAGTTCAACCAGAAAAACAACCACTCCATCCTTCAGCCCTCATTAACAACTTCTCTGTTCTAAACAGCTGTTTAAGCCATTTAGTTTTTGTTTATTACAGAGAGAGAAGGCAGAGGCCAGACGTAAAGTAACTTGAGCAAGTTCACATCAACGTTAGTGTGAGAGCCAGGAGCAGAGCCAACAGGGGTCAGACAGCACCTTCTGTTTGTTTGAAAGGAAACACTATACATTCAAAGGTGGCAGTCCCATTAGACAGGACATGTGACTGCCCAGGAAATGGTGACAAAACAAATGATTGGATAGTTAGTAAATAACTTCAGGTCTATCCATATGATGGACTTTGTTATGCAGACATTAAGAAAATTTTTTAAAGCGGAGCACTGGTGGTTCACAACTAGCAACTCAAGAGACTGAGATCTAAAGATCATGATTCAAAGCCACACAGGCAGGGAAGTCCAGGAGACTTATCTCTAGTTAAACACCAAAAGAACCAGAAGTGAACTGTGGTTCAAGTGGTAGAACTTGAGCAAAAATGCTCAGAGGCATTGCCAAGCCTTAGGACTGGCACCAAAAATAAATAAGTATTAATTAATAAAATAGTTGTTATCCAGGTGTACACCTGTAATCCTGTCTGCTCAGGAGGCTGAGATTTGAGAATTGTTGTTTGAAACCAGTCTGGACAAAAAAGTCTATGAGACTCATATCTCCAATTAACCAGCCTCAAGGTGGAAGTGGGGATGTGGCTCAAGTGGTAGAGTGCTAGCTTTGAACAAAAAAGCTAAGGTATAGTGCCCAAGCCTTGAGTTAAAGCTCCAGTACTGGCACCAAAAACAAAACAAAACAAACAAACCCTAGTTGATAGTATATTTAGGATTGTTTTAAAGGATTCATAAAAAGGCAAATGTTGGCTGGATGCCAATGGCTTACGCCTTTAATCCTGGCTATTTAGAAAGCTAAGTCCTGAGGATTACCGTTCAAAGCCAGCCTAAGCAGGAAAGTCCATGAGAGCCTTCTCTCCAATTAACCACTAGAAAACCAGAAGTGGTAGAGTGCTAGCCTTGAGCAAAAGAGTTCAGGAATAGTGCCCAGGCCCTGAGTTCATGTCCCAGGACATAAAAAGCAGGGCATGGTAGTACATACTTGTAATTCTTGTATTTAAGTAGCTGAGGCAGGAGGATGGAGAATTCAAGGTCAGCTGGGGCTACAAACTCTGTCCCCAAAACAAAACAAAGATGGCAAATATTATATACTGGGAAAGTGTTACCGTTTTGTAACAAATTGGCTTGTGTATTAGCTTTTGAAAACCAGGTTGATAACTATCCTGCTTTTTTCTTGCAGCCCTGCCAGACCCAAAAGTGTGGAACTAAGTCTGAAAACCCCCAAGAATTCTGACAGTTCGGGAAATGAACACAATTCATTCAGCCAGCCAGTTCATAAGGGAAACACTGCCACCAAAATCTCCTTATTTGAAAACAAGCGGATGAACAGTACTCCCAAACACCCCGACGTTCGCAGCACAAGGAGCATCCCTCCTTCCAATAAGACGTTTGTTGGGAGGGCAAAACTGAATTTAGCCAAGAAAGCCAAGGAAATGGAGCAACTTGAAAAGAAAACGGTGCCAAACAGCCAGCAGAATGGGGTGCTGGCGAAGGACCCCCCAGCAGAAACCAGAGCTCCTGTTCTCCCAGTGGCTGGAGGAGTTGGCCAAGAGCTCCCTGAGGGCCAAGCCCTAACTCCGCAGCCTAACCAAGGTGACAAAGCAGATGTGCAGACAAATGCTGGCTGGGTTTCAGAACCAGAGGCCCCTACCATCACGGACCCCATGCCCTCAGGAGAGGATGACTCAGAGGCTGCAGGCAGCAAACGACTTGAACTCAACACAGCTCAGGATGGCTCTGCCATTGTTGATACCAAAGATTCTCCTCCAAAGCCACAGGATGTGTTCTGTGACTCACAGCCCCCAGCTGAGTCATGCCAGGGGCCTTCTCTTCCCCTTGTGGACATTCCCCAAAATGGGTGTGCTCAAGTTCCTATAAGCCACTTGTGCCCTGACCTCCAAGAGTCAGAAAGCCATAATGGATGTACCTTGCCTTCATCTCCTTACATTGAGAAAGTGCCACTCTCTGCAGGTACAGGGGAAGAAGACAACCATCCTTTGTCCCCAAAGCACAGCCTAGAAGCTGTGGGACCTGAGGCTCCATCCAAGGTCCTTGTACAGGTCAGGTCCTTCGTGCTTCCTGCAGAGAGCACCCAAGACGTGAGCTCCCAGATCATCTCAGAAAGCTCTGAAGTTAGAGAAGCACAGTTGCCGAGTTGCCACAGTAATGAACTTGAAGTGGTTTCCGTTGCAAGTTGTGATCCTCAGCAAGAGGAAGTAGCGGGTAACAAGAGCACCTCGCCCACAGACACTCCTCACATAGAGGAACGTGTGGCAGAGCCAGGCTCACACATCATGCCGCCAGAATCTGCAAGATCTCTGACCACTCCTGCTCCAAATCACAGCAGCAGGATTCCCCTGCCTGCTGAGGCCAGCCCCACCAACTCTCCCCAAACCAGAAATCAGTCAGAAACGCCTCCAAGGCCAGATGAAAATGTGGTGAATGGCCAGGATAGTCCTGCAAGTCATTTGAATGTTTCTGCCACTAGTGATGATAGTGTCTTTGATTCTTCTTCTGATATGGAAAAGTTCACTGAAATCATCAAAAAGATGGACAGTGTAGTTTGCGTGCCCCAGAAAAAGAAGAAAGCCAGGATGCCCAACTCTCCTGCCCCTCACTTCGCCATGCCTCCTATTCACGAGGATAATCTAGAAAAGGTGTTGGATCCCAATGTGTTCACCTTTGGTTTGGGGAAAAAGAAGGAGAACCTGCCAGAACCACCACCAGCTTTGCATTTGATGGACAACCTGGATCCCAAATCTAAACTGAGACCCAAACGTGCCTCCGCAGACCAGAGTATCCTCTTCAAGTCCTTGCACCCCAATGCTAGCGGGAAAAACGAGCCTCAGGCAACCCCTGAAGTCAGTGACAAGGGGAGCAGGGATGTCAGCAGCGGGGGAGTGAAGAGATCAAGGCTAGAGAAAAGCACCCTCTTCTCAAGCATGTTGTCTTCCTTGCCACAAGATAAGGTCTTTTCTCCCTCGGTGACGTCAGTCAATACGATGACCACATCTTTTAGCACGTCGCAAAACCCTTCTCTCTCATGTTCTTCAGGGGCGCAGCCCAGAACGGAAGGTGCCCCGCCCTGTGCCTCAGACAAAGAGCAGCCCCATCTGTCACCCCACAACTCCATACAGGTCTTCAACTTCACCTCGTCCAGTCCATCTTGTTCAGGCTTGAAAAGTTCAAGCCACATGGAAAAATACCCACCCAAAGAGGAACACAAAGAAGAGCTGAATTCCCGGAGCAACCTGCACTTGCCAGAAATGAAGTTTTCTGAAGTTTCCACGCTGAGGAACCATGAGGGTATTGAAAAGGCTAACCACGTGGAGAGTGTTCTTAAGCCCCACTTGCCAAACCACGGAAACAGTGACACTGACTTCATGGGTCTTTTCAAGCCGAGCCGCTATGACCCAGGCATTTCTTTCTCTGGAATGTCATTACCAGATCCAGCGGTAAGTACCAACCACTGGCCTGGGGTATCCACAGAGCTGGGAGGGAAAGGACAGTGAGCAATCTTACGCTGTGCTTTGAAAGTGGTTGTGTTCATGTCTAATTATTTTCTACTCATCACGTATTTGAAAACCAGCTATGCACAGGAAACTATCAAGGCCCAAGAACAAAGTATGAAAGTACTTTTCTCAAGACATTTGTAGTCTACATGTTAATATGTAGCTGGTAGAGTATACATTTGATGCTTTGAGTTCAGACAAATGAGACTTTTTCTTTCCTATCCTGAGTAGCAGCACACAACACTGTATTTAGAATTTAGATGTGTGGAGCAGCTTTCTCTGTTTGTGAAGGCCCCACCCAGCTAAGGGACCATTTCTTCTTTCTTCTATGCTGTGAGATTTCCCTCATTCTCACAGAAGCAGTAATGTACATCCCACATCCTTTCTGTCGACAAGGAGTTAGCTTTCATCAGGGAGATAATTCTTTATCCTGCAGTTTGAAGCATAAAACATTTTGGTTTCCACTAGCTCTTTAATATTGTAAAGAGTACAGTAAAATATGACTTTGAGGGAGTTATCTTTTCTCCATCTTCTTTGTTCTTTGTTCTTTGTTTTTGTTTTTGCTTTTGTGCCAGCTTTCTGCTCAGGGTTGTCACTCAGTCACTTGAGCCGAACCTCTACTTGTGGCTTTTTGCTCATTAATTGGAGATAATAAGAGTCTAATGGATTTTTCTGCCCAATCTGGCTTTGAATTGTGATTCTCAGATCCCAGCCTCCTGAGTATTGAGGATTATAGGTGTGAGCCATCAGCACTTGGCTTGCTATAAGTTTTGTTATTTGTTTCTTTGTATAGCTGAGTAGTTTTGGTTTTCTGTGGGGGTTTTTTTTGGGGGGGGGACGAGGGAAGGCATGTGTAGGTCCTGGGACTTGGTGCTGTTCTTGTTCTTTTCAGCTCAAGACTACTACTTTGCCACTTGAATTGCAGCTCTATTTAGTCTTTTTTTTTTTTTTTTTTGCGTTTAATTGGAGATAAGAGTCTCATGGACTGTCCTGCCTGGACTGGCTTCAAATTGCAGTCCTCAGATCTCAGCCTCCTGAGTAGCTAGGATTACAGGCATGAGCCACCAGAGCCTGGCTGATTGGTTGTTTTTAAGTGTTGGGAATCAAACTCAGCACCTGCTAAGCTTGTGCTCTACCACTGAGCTCTGCTCTCCAGTCTAGCAGGTGTCTTCACTATCAGTTTTCAAGTGAATTTATGCCCTTTTGCCGCCATACCTGATATCCAAGTTGAGGGAGGACAAGGAAATAGGACGGCAGAATATTAGGAGGAGAGCTCAGCCGTGTTTGTCTAGAAATATGAGTGGAGCTTGCAGAAACTGCCTGCTACCTTTTCTCACCTGGACAAGGTGCTATGGTGAGTTCAGTGGGTTGCATTGATTCTACTGTGATTCTGTCATACGATGTGATTTGCAAAACTCTTTTTAAAAATTTTTTAAATTAAAAAAAAATTTTTTTTGTCAGTCCTGGGGCTTGAACTCTGGGGGTTGGGCGCTGTCCCTGTGCTTTTCAGCTCAAGGTGAGCGCCCTACCACTTGAACCACAGCGCCACTTCTGGTTTTCTAGTGGTTTATTGGAGATAAGAGTCTCATGGACTTTGCTGCCTAAGCTGGCTTTGAACCTCGATCCTCAGATCTCAGCCTCCTGAGTAGCTAGGATTACAGGCGTGAGCCATTGGTGCCTGGCTGCAAAACTCTTGCAAAACCCAAAGTTGGCCCATTATGGTGAGACATACCTGTCACTCCAGCAATCAGGAAGTTAAAGCAGGAGGACCTCAAGTTCCAGACCAGCCTCGTTTACTTAGCAAGACCTTCCTTAAAAAATCTGTATGTACGTGTCTAGCAGCAGTATATCTATTTTCCATGTTTGTGAGTTTCAAACTTTTTGGTCTTAGGATCCATTTACATTAAAAAATTGAGAACTTCAAAGAGCTTTTGCTTATATAGGTGATAGGATAATGTCTATCAGAACTCTATTCGAAACAAACTTAACACACAAAAAAATTGAAATGCCAGAAAATGTAAGTGCATATGCTATTTGCCCTCAGAACAATGATATTATCACATGTTACAGAACTATGTAAGCCTCTGAACACTTTGAGGAAAAGAGCTTAGGAAAAAAATAATTAAAAGGTATGAAAATAGCGTTGACAGAAGAGTATCTATCTAACTGTAGCACTCAGAAAAAATCCTAAGACTTTTTTTGTGGGAGAAGTGGATTTATTTTTTGCGTCTCACTATGTTATCTATGCTGGCTTTGAACTTGTGATTTTCCTGTCTCAGTTTCCTGAGTGAAATGATTATAGGCGTGCACTCCCATTCCTAGCAAAGATTTTCTTTTTCTTTTTGGTACTAAGGTTTGAACTCAGGGCCTTCAAGTGCCAGGCTGGCACACTGTACTTGAGCCATACCTCCAGCTTAGCACTTTGCTAATTAATCAGAAATGGAATCTAGAAGGCTTTTTCAGCCCTAGCTAGCTTCAACTCGTAACCTACAGATCTTAGTCTCATGAGTAGAAGCCACTGTGCAGCGCCTCTAAGATTCTTAACTCTTTCTCTCCAGCACAAAATTTCTGCTGGCCTACTTCTCATTCATTATAGCTTTGATCTTTTTAATTATTCTTAGATTACTTGTTACTAAACTGCAATCTGACAGTCTTGATAAAATATACAAAGCCTAGGGCTGGGAATGTGGCTTAGTGGTAGAGTGCTTGCTTAGCATGCATAAAGCCCTGAGTTTGATTCCTCATACACAGAAAAGCTGGAAGTAGCACTGTGGCTCAAGTGGTAGAGTGCTAGCCTTTAGCAAAAGAAGCTTAGGGATAATGCCTGGGCCCTGAGTTCAAGCCCCAGGACTGGTAAAAAAAAAAAAATACACACACACACATACACACACACATACACACACACACACAGCTTCCCTATAAAAACTAAATCACATAAAGTAAAAAAGAAACAATGCATAATATTTTTCTAGACAATAATATTTTTCTAAGCAATGCATAATATTTTTCTAGACTGAGACATATGTCTATACACACACACACACACACACACACACACACACACACACACACACACACACACAAACACACATACACACACACACACACACACACACACATATTATTTTTTTGACTGGAAATATGACCCAAGGGGTAGAACACCTGCCTAGCAAGTTCCAGGTTCTGAGTTCAGACCCTAAGATTGTTCCCCAACACTATCTTTTAGGTGCTAGCCTTTGTTAGCTATATAGCTAGTCTTATTTTTTCATGTTTTTGTTGTGGCTTTTTAAGCTCTTTATAATTTTTTTTTTTTTGGGTCCGGTCGTGGGTCCTGAACTCTGGTCCTGGGCACTGTCCCTCAGCTCTTCAGCTCAGGCTAGCACTCTACCACTTGAGCCACAGTGCCACTTCCGGCTTTTTTCTTTTTTGCTTATGTGGTGTTGAGGAATCAAACCCAGGGCCTCATGCATGCAAGGCAAGGGCTCTACCACTGAGCCACCTTCCCAGCCCCTATAATTTTTTTAAACTAGTTATACCAAGAGGTTTCAATTCAGTGTGTCAATTTATAAATATAATGCATCTCCATCAGTGTCGCCCCCTTACATCATTCTTCTTGTTTTTAATGTTTTACCTAAATTTTGTTTTTAAATGTTAAGCTTCTTATTTTTTCTACTTCTAACACATACATATAGCTAGGTTCAGGCCATACAGGTAATAATAACGCCTCAGTGGGCCTTTCTCTGGTCTGTGGTCATGTTCCACTGGTGTGATGCAAGAGTCATCAGATCAAAGACAGGCCTTAGAAGAGGCATCTCCGTCAGCACAGGACATATTTTATGCATGTGTAATTATCATTTTTATTATCTTATGCATTTCTAGTTTTACTGGTCATGTCAGATGGTCTTGAAAATGATTACTTTTGAAGCCATATAAAATAAAAGATACTTATTTTGTGTATCAGTGAAGGGGGATTAAGCCCAGCACCTGTGGCTCATGCCTACCTGTAATCCTAGCTACCTAGTAGGCTGAGATCTGAGCATCTGCCAGACAGGGACAAAAAAATCTGAAGATTCTCCAATTAGCCAGCAAAAAAGGGAAGTAGAGGTGTGGCTCAGAACACCAGCCCTGAGTAAAACAATGCCCAGGGAGAGCTCAGGGGCCTGCGTTCAAGCCCCAGCAAAGACAAAAAAGAAAGAGAGGATTAAATATAGTGGGTTCAATGTGTGTTGTAAAATATAACCTATCAACTTTTATTTAGACTAGTAGTTGTTATGTGATGGCAGATGTTACTATGGCAACACAATATTTACACATCCAGATAGGGTGTGTGCATGAAACAAAAATTGATCTAGGTTCTTGTAGATAAGTGATTAGTACTTTCTAATGTTTATCTATTTGAGATTATTTGAATTATAGTCTAACAGTTGGTTCTGTTATATAAAACAGAAATCTGACTTGGGCCCTGAGTTTTCTAGCATTGGTGGATATGAGGAGAAATTGAAATGGCAAATTGAGTTGGATGGGAGAAGCTTGCAGTTTTACTTATCCAGATTCAGAGAGAGTTTTAATATAAGTTGAGCATAAAGTTGGGTGGATGGGCATGTTTTAAAACTGATAAATTGGCAAGTAAATATGACCTCCTCTGAAGGATCAGAGGGAGAGAAAAGAAGATTACTGTGTAGCATTTTAATTATTTGTTGTGTTTTTATTTGTCTGATTTTAGACACTTAGAGGAAGCTTACAAAGTAAACTTAATCCCCGACCAGGGAAGGTAAGACTCTATTCTGTTTCCGTTCTGGGTTGTATTGTGGTTTGACACAGTGTGGACTGGCACTAGCCCTTTGATTTGCTTGTAGGTAGTAATATTCAGAGAGCCCGAAGTCTCGGAGGAGTGCATCGAGGTGTTTGGAGACATAAAGGACTGCACCTCCTGGAGCCTCTCTCCAGTGATCCTCGTCAAAGTGGTTAGAGGATGGTAAGTGTGACACGGGGCCATCCTTGCTTAGCCTATGGATTTCCCATTCTTCTTCATGCTTTTTTTTGTCGGTCATGGGGCTTGAACTCAGGGCCTGGGTGCTGTCCCTGAGTTCTTTTGCTCAAGGCAAGCACTCTACCACGTTGAACCACAGCTCCATTTCCAGTTTTTAAGTGGTTAATTGGAGATGAGTCCTATGGACTTCCTTGCCTGGGCTGGCTTCAAACCACAAATCCTCAGATCTCAGCCTCCAGAGTAGCTAGGATTCCAGGCGTGAGCCACCGGTGCCTGGCTTCTTCACATTTTTTGGTCCTCTCTGTGTCCTTAGGATCATGCCGCTATCAGGCAAATTGCAGGAAATGATTCTTGTGGTACAATAAGGAATTTACAGCTAAGAAACAGTCTGAGTCATGGTTCTGATTATAGGAGGTATATATGTTTCTGGGAGAAAAGTCAGAAAAGTACAATAGAAGTTTCTTTATATACCTGTGGAACATTGCTTTAGAATAGTATCCATCATGGCCCATAATACTCTCTTGGCTTGTGAGAGTTTTGTTTTGTTGTTTGTTTGTTTTCTGTGCTGATATTTGGTTTTTAATTCAGTGTTTTGGCTTTTGCTTAAGGCTAGCACTCTAGCACTTGAGCCACATCTCCACTTCTAGGTTTTTTCTGGTTAATTAGAGATAAGAATCTCCCAAAGCCCCCCAAAGCTGGGCGCTGGTGGCTCACGCCTGTAATCCTAGCTACTCAGGAGACTGAGATCTGAGGATCTTGGTTCAAAGCCAGCTCAGGCAGGAAAGTCCGTGAAACTCTTATCTCCAATAAACTACCAGAAAACCGGAAGTGGCACTGTGGCTCAAGTGGTAGAGCGCTCACCTTGAGCTGAAGAGCAGAGGGATAGCACCCAAGCCCAGAGTTCAAGCCCCACAACTGACCAAAAAAAAAAAAAAAATCTCCCGAATTTACCTGCCTAGTCCAGCTTTAAACTTCAGTCCTCAACCTCTTGAATAGCTATACTTACAAGCATGCACCACAGGTGCCTGCCACTCTCCTGAGTTTTAAATGTCTGATAAGATTTTCACTTAAAGACATTTTTGGTAGCTTTTTTTTTTTTTTAAGTGACAGTTTAGTAAAGAACTAACCTAAACTGTTCCCTGTTTTTTGGACAAAAAGATAGTTTTGTTTAAATAAAATAGATGAAATATAAATACTTTGAGTGTTTCTAAAATTATTTTACTAGTATTAATTACCTCTTGGAAAATTTGGGAAATTGAATAAAGAAAGCAATTTGAAAAAAATAACTGATTTGGCATAAATACTTCTTATCTATTAGAAACACGTTTGAAATAAAGAGGTTTGAGCTCTAGACATTTATGATTTTAAAATTTAGCAAGCTTGGGCCTGGGAAGATAGCTCAGTGGTAGAGCGCTTGCCTAGCATGCATGAAGCCCTGGGTTTGATTCCTCAGCATCACATAAACAGAAAAAGCCTGAAGTAGCACTGTGGCTAAAGTGGTAGAGTGCTAGCCTTGTGCAAAAGAAGCTCAGGGACAGTACCCAGGCCCTGAGTTCAAGCCCCAGGACTGGCAAAAAAACCCCAAAAAACAGAAAACTAAGCTTTTCTTTTGGTCTCCATTTAATTAAACATGTAACATCTTTCCTATTAGGTGTATTTCTCTCCATATATTTCTATATTTTTTCATATATTTCTCGCTCAAGGCGAGCGTTCTACCGCTTGAGTACTACTTCCAGTTTTCTAGTGGTTTTTATTGGAGATAAGAGTTTCATGGACTTTCCTACCCAAGCTGGCTTTGAGCCGTGATCCTCAGATCTCAGCCTCCTAGTAGCTAGGATTACAGGTGTGGGCCACTGGCGCCTGGCCATATATTTCTATATATTCAATATATTCATTAGAAAAGTAAAAACATTGCTTTCATTCCAATTATTGTAAACAAACTTTGTGTAAGTTTTTTTTAACAAAACAATAATTTTTTTCTTTTAATCAATTACCCTTGTTGGCTTTTTTCTTTTTTTCTCTTTGCAGTCTTGGGTTTTGATCTCAAAAGCCTTATATCAATTAGGGTAGGTGCTTCCCTACTTGAGCCACTCCCCTAGCCCAGGTTTCTTTGAAAGTATAAGCACATAGGTGTAGCACTGTCATATGTTAGACATTTTTTCTCAGTATTTGACTGAGGGAAAAATGTTTTAAAAATACTCTCTGTTTAACATACATGTCCTTTCTATTAAAATAAAATTCCTTTAAACTTAATGTTTTCTACGAACTACAACTTCGGTGGGGGTGGGGGGAACAGGGGAGTTGGGGAGGTGGGGAGAGAAGGGATAGTAGGGGAAAAACAAAGGAGAGGTAACAATTTTGATATGAAATGTACTCATTACCTTACTCGTGTAACTGTAACCCCTCTGTAGAGTATTTCTACAATAAAAAACGTGTATAAAAATTAATATTTTCTATCTGGATAAGGAAAATATTGCTACAGTAAACCTATTTAGCTATCTATATTTAATTTCTAAGTCGCCTAACTAGCAGTGTTGGTAGTTGAAATTCTCCTGGAATCCTCCATAAAACTCTCCAAGATACTGATATAGGTCTTGAATTAGCAGAGGTTTAATTATTCCAGTAATGTTTATTTTATGGGGTTCATGCTACTTTTAGCCTGGTCACTGATACATAATATACATCAGCCAAAATAGTTGAGTTATAAAAACTTTTCAAACATTGGCTAATGGTATTTCTGTGTTTTATTCCTAGCTGGATTTTGTATGAGAAACCAAATTTTGAAGGACACTCTGTCCCCCTAGAAGAAGGCGAAGTAGAACTCTCTGGTCTTTGGGGTGTGGAAGATATTTTGGAAAGAAACCAGGAAGCTGAGTCTGATAAGCCTGTGGTAATTGGTTCAATCAGACATGTAGTCCAGGTAGGTCATGGTAAATATGAATTCATTCATGCAACAAATATATATCCAATTTCAGGATTGGTTTGTATTTTAAAGGAAATGTTTAATTTATGAAATAAATGATCAGGAGAGTATTTTATTGGTACTCTGTGAGTATATGTTCTATAATTTAAATATTTGCATGCCTTATGAGAATTAGAAAAGATGCATTCTAATTGGTTTGATTTTTTCCATGGTAAATCTTCAAGGTGTAAATCTTTCATCCTGGTTCTTATTTCAGTCTTCCAAGTGTATTTTGTTTAGTAACTTGATTGTATGAGTTCTTTTTTATGATGATTTCTGTCTATTTGCTTGTTTTTAGAGCTCACTTTGTAGCCCAGACTACTGTTCTCAAACTTGAGATTCTGGCTGGTGATTTTTTGTTGTTGTTGTTGGTTGCGGGGCTTGAACTCTGAGCCTCGGCGCTGTCCCTCAGCTCTTCAGCTCAAGGCAAGTGCTCTACCACTTGAGCCACAGCACCACTTCCAGTTTTTTGGTGGTTTATTGGAGATAAGAGTCTTACAGACTTTCCTGCCTGGGCTGGCTTTGAACCATGATCCCCAGATCTCAGCTTCCTGGGAGGCTAGATTATAGGTATGAGCCACCAGTGCCCAGCCTGTGGTTTTTTTTTTTTTTTTTGGTCAGTTTTAGGGCTTGAGCTCTGGGCCTGGGTGCTGTCCCTCAGCTCTAAGTGAGCGCTTTACCATTTGAGCCACAGTGCCACTTCCCTGTGATTTTTTTTTTTTTTTTTGGGTCCGATCGTGGGACTTAACTCTGGGCTTGGGCACTGTCCCTCAGCTCTTCAGCTCAAGGCTAGCGCTCTACCACTGGAGCCACAGCGCCACTTCTGGCTTTTTTTTATGCTTATGTGGTGCTGAGGAATCGAACCCAGGACCTCATCCATGCAAGACAAGTGCTCTACCACTGAGCCACCTTCCCAGCCTGCTCTGATATTTTTAATGAACCATTTTTTTTCTTGGTTTTTGATTGCTGCATGATTTGATTACTTTGAATAGTCTACACATATTCTATTTTGGAAAGATAATCCAGACATTCAGTTGAAAGTTCAACTTAGATTTTTCTTGTATAAGTCATATTTGTTCTGAGGAAAATGTAATTGGTATCTTTATTTTGTGGCTAGTGAGATTTATTTTAAAAAATATAATTAACAGGTATCTTCCTAGTAGAAAATTGAAAGCCTGTCTTTATGTAATAGAGTTGGATATTGTAAAGCACAAAAGAAATGGAGGGAAGAGCCGGGCACTGGTGGCTCATGCCTGTAACCTTAGCTACTCAGGAGACTGAGATCTGAGAATCGTGGTTCAAAGCCAGCCCAGGCAGGAAAGTCCATGAGCCTCTTATCTCCATTAAACCACCAAAGAACCAGAAGTGGCGCTGTGGCCCAAGTGGTAGAGCTCTTGCCTAGAGCTAAGGGACAGTGCCCAGAGTTCGAGCCCACGACCGACACCCCCTATCCCCCCCCCCCTCCAAAAAAAAAAAGAAATGGAGGAAAGAAATGAAAGGCTCTAAAACTGAGTAACCATTTTTGGCAGGAGAAAATGACACCTGTTCCTTAGATCAGAACTTCTCAGTCACTTTAATGATAATTAGTATTCTAAGTGATTTTTTTTAGTAGTTTTTTTTTTTGGGGGGGGTCCGGTCGAGGGGCCTGAACTTTGGGCCTGGGCACTGTGCCTCAGCTCTTCAGCTCAAGGCTATCACTCTACCACTTGAGCCACAGCGCCACTTCCGGCTTTTTTCTTTTTGCTTATGTTGTGCTGAGGAATTGAACCCAGGGCCTCATGCATGCAAGGCAAGCTCTCTACCACTGAGCCACCTTCTCAGCCCCTTTTTAGTAGTTTTAAGTACATAACATTGATAAGGAGATAAGATGAATTCTATTTTAAAATGCCCTCATTAGTAGAATATTACACTTGCTTTTTTATGGCTCAAGTTATATTGACAATCAGTGTGTAAATATATTATCTGTTGGGCTAGGGGAATAGCTCAAGTGGTAGAGTGCTTGCCTAGCAAGTGTGAGGCTCTGGACTCAATCCTAAGTACCACACACACACACACACACACACACACACACACACACACACACACACACACACACACACACACACACACACACACACACACACACACAAGAAATAAGGCAAAATAAAATAAGCCTACCATCTACTACACTGTCTTCTCTTTTCAATTCTGTGCGTTTTGGTGTCATAAACTAATCTGTTCTTTTTTATTGTTGTAATCATAACACAAATCCAATGTTGGTCTACTTTTTCCTTGTAATTCTTAATTCTTTTTGTTCTCTACGATCACACTCCCAAGGAACCATGTCAGTGAATTCTGACTGGGGAAGGGGGTAGGACCTGGTGGGGAGGGGATCGGTAGACTGGATGACAGGGTAAGGGAAGTGGAGCATGTGGGGCAAGAGAGCTCCTGTTGTGCAATGATTAGTCAGTGCTTTCCACGTCACCACCTGGGTTGTGGTTTAGCCCGACATTTTACTTCCTTGAAATAAAGGGTTAGCATTCATCACTAAGCAGATAAGTGAGGGAGCATCATTGATTATTTTCTGCATCAGTGGGTTTCAGGTCCATTCTCCTCTCCCTCCCACTATTGTAAATAATGCTGTGAGAACATATTGTGTGTTTAATAATTTATAATTTTCTGCCAGATACTACTGGCTCATGCCTATAATCCTAGTTATTCAGGAGGCTGAGATCTGAAGATCAGAAGTTCAAAGCTAGCCTACACAGGGAGGTCTGAGATTCTTATCTCTAATTAAACACCAAGAAGCTAGAAAGAGAGTTATGTCTCAAGTGGTAGAGAGCCAGCCTTGAGCAAAAGAACTAAATGACAGCACCTAATCCCAGAGTTCCAGTCCAGTTCTAGCCAAAATAAATATTTTTAAAATGTATTTTTTTCTAATTTATTTCCTAGGTTTAATTTTTTCTGAATAGTAGTGTGTTGAAGGGCAGGGGCATATTTGTGGCTCCTGATAGGTGTGAATTACCTTTTATTTGTAGATTGTGTGCTGGATTCTTAAAACATGAACCATAAGTCATATATTCAAGATAGTCAGTTTTTGGTTCCGTATCTTTACTGCTTTTAGAGATGTTGAATCTCACCTGAACTGGCCCAAGCATTAAGATTTCTTCTTCTTCTTCTTCTTCTTTTTTTTTTTTTTTTTGCCAGTCTTGGGCTTGAACTCAGGCATTGTCCCTGAGCTGCTTTTGCTCAAGGCTAGCACTCTACCATTTGAGCCACAGTGCCACTTTCAACTTTTTTCTGTGTATGTGGTACTGAGGAATTGAACTCAGGGCTTCATGCATGCTAGGCAAGCACTCTACCACTAAGCCCACATTCCCAGCCTAAGATTTCTTTTTATATTGTAGCTCACCCGGCTGTGTGCATAGAAGAGGCTCAGTAAACAACCCACTAGTGTACTCAGTGTGTTTAGTGGGCAGTGGGTGTGTGGGGCATAGAACAGTGACTAAAATGTAGAGTCACCATGAATGTCACCATGAATATGTGTTTTGTCCTTGACCTTTTAGATCAAATCAGCAGCATAGAGGTCTAGTCCCAGCCTGGAGGCCTTATAATGTGCAAAGAGCCAATTAACAACCATGGTATAGACTATGGTCTCAGATACTTCTCAGCCAAACCCCTTTGACTAAGGAAAGCCAAGAGAGGATGACAGAAGGATGCTCAGAATGACCTGGGTTTGAGTGTGACTGAGGCCTGTGATGAATGGAGTATGTCTGTCCTTCAAGGCAGTGCAGTGTGAACTCAAGACTGAAAACTGGAAAGGGATGCATACTGGCAGGACTTTGTGAACTGTTACATGGCTATTAAACGATCTTTTTTGTTGTTGTTGTTGAACTTGAACTTGTTCTCTGACTGTCTGCACTCATTGCTGATGCCTTACCATCTGAGCTATATCTCCAACCTCTCGTTCTTTTTCTTGTATGTATGTTGGTCTTAGGGCTTGAACTCAGGGCCTGGGCACTATTCTTTATTTTTTTTTTTTTGCCACAACTTCGCTTATGAGGTGGTTTTTTTAGGGGGGAGGGAGGATAATTAATTGGAGATAAAAGTCCTTTAGACGTTTCTACGCAGGTGGGATTTGAACTGCAGTCCTTAAATCTCAGCGGCATGAGCCATGGGCACCTGGCAAGGCTCATTCTAATCACTTGAAAAGTGACTAGGAAAAAAGAATGATAAGCTTACTATAGAATTAAATATGTGGGGGCTGGGAAGGTGGCTCAGTGGTAGAGCGCTTGCCTTGCATGCCTGAGGCCCTGGGTTCGATTCCTCAGCACCACATAAGCAAAAAGAGAAAAAAGCCGGAAGTGGTACTGTGGCTCAAGTGGTAGAGTGCTAGCCTTGAGCTGAAGAGCTGAGGGATAGCACCCAGAGTTCAGGCCCCACGACTGGACCCCCCCCCCCAAAAAAAAAAAAAGAATTAAATATGTGGTAAGATGATTACTAGCTGTGTCTTATGTGTATGTATATGTTTTTCAGGATTACAGAATTAGTCAAATTGACTTATTTACTGAGCCAGAAGGGTTAGGACTCCTTAACTCCTACTTCGATGACACTGAAGAAATGCAGGGCTTTGGTGTGATGCAGAAAACTTGTTCCATTAAAGTGCACTGGGGCACGTGAGTATTTAATATGTGGATGGTTGGAATGAAGTTTTGTTGGGATTGTAGTACTGGAGACAGAGCTTAAGATACTGTTTCTGATCAGCTGTTCTGTTCCGTAATTATGGACTGAAAGGTACTTTTTATATGGCACGTTAAATTCTGATTATTTTATACCTAGTTTACTGTGATTTACCTTGCTTATGAAAATCACTTTATTAGAGGAATGGGGGAGGGGAATACATTTTTTTATGAGAATACTGGTACTGTTGCTTGAACTCAGGGCCTTGTGTCCTTGCTTGGCCTTTTCACTCTTACCAATTGAACCATAGCTTCACTTCTGGCTTTTTGCTGGTTAAACAAAGACAGGTCTGTCTCAGATTTGTCTGCCTGGACTGGCTCCAAACCTCAGTTCTCAGATCTGAGTCTTCTAAGTAGCTAGGATTTACAGACATGAGCCTCCGGTGCTGGCAAGTGCATTTGTGTTTAGTGTAGGGATTTTCCTTATAACAAAGGATCTTCGTCTCTTCAAAGCTGAGTAACAGATTATATGTCCACAGTAATTTCAAGAGAGAATTCAGTATTTCATTCAGGTGGGAGGGAGCCAACACACATGTCCCTCCCTGTAAAAGTGTCATGCATAAATCTCAGGAATCTGTCAGACTAGTTTGAAGGAAATGGGTAATCTCAGGGAGGGGCACAGTGTAGATAAATAGCACAGACTGCAGTAGTGAACATGTGGTCTCCTCTAAGTGCAGAGCTAGCCCAGGACAGGTGAGATGCTGGAAAATACCACACAGCTTCTTTACATTTTACTCAAAATCCCTGCCTTTTAGGATTTTAATTTGTGAGTGTGTTTTCTGGTATGCATAATGTATTTGTCCAAATGTCCAGTGGTAATGCCTATACATTACAAATATGTATTCAGAGAATGTTCAAAAGTTTTTTTTTTAAATTAGAGGAAGTATAGGTGAATATCTTAATAATGGGGTATGTAGGCAAAGGCAAAAAGGTTTAAGTCTACTCTGTAAAGTGAAAGGTGGTTTCTGTGGTGAATGGTAAGGTACTCCTTAGTCAGGCCTTTGTCATTCTATCAATTTCTTTCTGTTTGTGTGTGTGTGTGTGTGTGTGTGTGTGTGTGCACGCTTAATTTGAACAACATTCCTCCTCCTGAGTAGCTAGGATTACAGGCATGAACCACTGACACCTGTCTCATTCTATTAATTTCTAAAAGTCTGTTTACTAGTTTTTAACATGGAAAATGATTTGATTTGTAGAATATAGGAGTTGGATAAATAATACCAGAATCTTGGAAATCAGGAACTAAAACCTTGTTGGGCTGGGCATCAGTGGCTCACACCTGGAATTGCTACTTAGGAGGCTTGAGATCTGAGGATCAAGGTTCAACACCAGCCTGAGCAGGAAAGTCTATGAATCTCTTATCTCCAGTTAGCCACCAGAAAACAAGGAGTAGAGCTGTGGTTCAAAATAGTAAAGCTCAGAGTAGGTTTACATACAGGGCCCAGGCCCTGAGTTCAAGTTATAGTAGTACCAGCACACACACAAAAAGATAAACTTGTAGAGAACTGCATGGAAATTGTGAACATGAAGTAGCAGCCAGCCTTGAAGAGTTGCCTAGTAGTCATGTGGAAAAGAAATCACCCTTGCTCCTGGAAGGTCATAGGAGGTCTCAGGAAAACCAGCAGAAATTAGAGTGGTCGATTCTGATTTGACCCAGGAAGAATTTTCAAGTCGTTAAAATGGTTAAAATGGAAGTATTAGGTAGGAGGTATCCAAGTACAGAACAGACAATAATTTATCTGTGGGTTTTTTTGTTGTTGTTGCTCTACCATTTGAGCCACAGTGCCACTTCTGGCTTTTTCTGCTTATGTGGTGCTGAGGAATCGAACCCAGGCACTCTACCACAGAGCTACCTTCCAAGCCATGAATTTTTTTTAAAAGTCTAGATTTTGCATACGAGAAAAGCAATTCTATATTTGTCTTTCTGGTTCTGGTTTATTTCGCTAAATATGATCATCTCTAGTTTAATCTATTTTCCTACAAATGACATCATTTTGTTCTTTATGGCTAAAGCTATATTATGTATGCATACCAGGTGTTCTCTCTCCTCAAGTGAGGGCTGATTCCTTCACTTGACTCTTGTTCATACTGTTACTATATAATATGTATTGTGTGCTGACTTAGCACTCCTTCCAATATATGCCTAGAAGTGGCAGAGCAGGAGTGTGGGGTAGTTCGGTTTTTAGTTTTCGAGGAACCGCCATACTTATTTCCATAATGGCTGCATTAATTTACATCCTCACCAACATTTGTTATTTGATTATTTGATGATTGCCATTCTGACTAGAGTGAGAAGGAATTTCAGTATAGTATCTGTCTGTCTGTCTGTCTGTCTGTCTGTTTACCTATCTGTCTGACTGTCTGTCTGTCCGTTTACCTATCTGTCTGTCTGTCTGTCTGTATATCTATCTATCTGTCTGTCTGTCTGTCTGTCTGTCTGTCTTTCTATCTGTTTATCTGTCTATCTGTCTGTCTATCTCTAGATATCTGCCTATCTCACCAGTCTGGAGCTTGATCTTGAGGCCTCATATTCTTGTGCAGCTTTTTTCTTCTTTAGGGGTAGACCTCTACTCCTTGAGCCATGCCTGCACTTCTGGCTTTTTGCTAGTAATTGGAGATGAGTCTTGTGGATTTGTCTTCCATGGTTGGCTTCTAACTTCAAACCTCTCATCTCAGCCTCCTGAATACTAAAATATAGGTATGAGCTACTGATGCCCAGCTCAATGTAGTCTTGATTTGTATGGCTAAAGATGCTGTATTTTTCATGTATTTATTAGTCTTTTCTTCCTTCTCTCTCTTCCTCTCCTCTCCTTTCTACTCTACTCCCCTCCTCACCTCTCCTCTATTTCCTGTGGTACTGGGGATTGCTTACAGGGCCTTATGTGTCCCAGTGAAGTGCTCTGCCTCTGGAGTGACACCTCTAGTCAGTCCTCTTGCTTTTCTTGTGTTTTCTAGATAGGGTCTTCTGCTTTTGCCTGTCTGGCCTGAACCACAGTCCTCCTACCTCTACCTCTTCCATCCAAGGGTTGAAGCAAGGAAACCAATCTGCCTCAGGCAAGATAGTGATGAGGGTGAGGAATGGTCAGACTTGGGGTGCATTATTCAGGGTGGTATTGAAGCATAAGGAATGACCAGACTTGGGGCTCATTATGGAGTAGAAGGGACAGCATCTGCTGGCAGCTTTTAGGTAGGTGTGAGGGTTGAGTGAAAGGACTGGGCACTGAGATGAAGATGTGGAGGAGCGGGTTGGGCAGAAGAATGCCTTTCAGGTTGATTTTGGACATGTTGAGTCTGAGCTGCCATTGTACATGTACGGAGAGAGGCAGGAGAGTGAGTGTCACTGCTGTAGTGTGGAGAGGAGAGGCAGAGATAAAGAGCTTGGGGAAGGTGTTAACCAGGCACAGCATGATATCCCAAAGGCAGAGAGTGCTGTGAGGGAAGAGCTCAGCCACGTGAGTCTGAGGCGCTTTCATGTTTAGAGTTTGGGATGAAAAGCAGGAATGTAAGTCAAAGAAAGTGACTTTATGTCTGGCTGCCTTTGATTTTTTTTTTTTTTTTACATCAAAGGGATCTATCTTTTTTCAGAGCAGTGGTGTTGAGCAATGAACTTAACCTGAGAGAAGAAAGCGAAGGGTGTCAGCCTGAAGATTTTAATCACAGGGTCTGGGATATTCCATGACTCAGGCTCCAGCCAGGCTGGGGTTTATGGAGCTAAATTTCAACCTTTCTCTAATCTTTGCAGTAGGGTTGCTGTGCATCCTGCGGGGTGGTCATAAGTCTGTCCCAAAGTCCAGCTTATGATGGCCTGGCATCATTTCTGTCATTAGGCTCATGAATGCTACTTCTGATGTCAGTTCAAAGTTTGGGCTTACTGAACTTCCTGGTATGCTCAGGACATGAATCCTTTCCCAGATTGCTAAGGAGTGTGTAGATGGGTTGAGAGTATCTTTGTTGTTCTTTTTTGTTCATTTTGTAGATGTTTTCTTTTACTCCAATTTTTGCTGGTCCTGGGGCTTGATCTCAGGGCTTGGGCACTATCCCTGAGCCTCTTTGTGCTCAAGGCTAGCATTCTACCCCTTGAGCCACAGCACCACTTTTGGCTTTTTCTGTGATTAATTGGAGGTAAGAGTCTCACGGATTCCTACATGGGCTGGCTTTGAACTCTGATCTTCGGATCTCAGCCTCCTGAGTAGCTAGGATTACAGGCATGAGTGCCCAGCGGGTGCCCAGCTTGTTTGCTATTTTTGGGACAGGGTTTCACAAGGTTTGATGTAGCCCTGGCTGACCTCCAACTCAGTCCCAGCCCCTCAACTTTTGTTTTAAAGAGCTCGTAATATCAGCACTCATCTTCCTGAAGACATATAAAATAAAATACAAATAAAATATACATATAAAAATTTATTTGGGGCTGGGAAGGTGGCTCAGTGGTAGAGCACTTGCCTTGCATGCATGAGGCTCTGGGTTTGATTCCTCAGCACCACATAAGCAAAAAAAAAAAAAAAAAGCCAGAAGTGGCTCTTTGGCTCAAGTGGTAGAGCGCTAGCTAGCCTTGAGGTGAAGAGCTGAGGGACAGTGCCCAGGCCCAGAGCTCAGGCTTCACAACCAGACCCCCCCCCCCAAATTTTTATTTTGTATTTGTTCAAAATATGTATTTTTATATTTCTATTTAAAAAAGAACTCAGAGCTTCTTCTTCTTCTTCTTCTTCTTTTTTTGGGTGGGGTCCAGTCGTGGGGCCTGAACTCTGGGCCAGGGCACTGTCCCTCAGCTCTTCAGCTCAAGGCTAGTGCTCTACCACTTGAGCCACAGTGCCACTTCTGGCTTTTTTTTCTCTTTGCTTATGTGGTGCTGAGGAATCGAACCCAGGGCCTCAGACATGCAAGGCAAGCGCTCTACCACTGAGCCACCTTCCCAGCCCTTCTTCTTCTTTTTTTTTGTG